ACTAATCCAATTTCAATAGAGAAGATAGCTGGGCCGGGACCATCTGCTTGGTATCCTAAAATTAATAAAATGAAATCTCAACCCAAGCATACAACTGCAAGACTTTATGATACTATAAGTTCATACTACCTAGATCGTACCAAAATTAATAATTTTATTCTACAGGTAACCGTAGTGGACATTGTGACGTCGAACACCTCAGTCGTCAGTCCCCTTCATGACCATGGGTGCTATAAAGTACTCGAAACGTCGGGAATATAAAATAAGTTAATATACGCGATAAAAGCCGTAAACACTAATTTTATTTACATTTCTTTACAAGCTTTGTCACCATCTTCATTATCAGCCCGCGAACACTTGACATCAGCCTAGTTCTCTCGTTGCGAGGGGTACTTTACATATAATGTTTCTAAATACTCATTAATTGCTTAAGTATAAACAGTTTTGATGCATGAAAACTAAGACAAACGAACTAAATATAACCTCACCCTACCAAAGTTAATGTTGCATGAAACTTACAGAGGACACATTTTATGCCACATTGGATTTTCAGTTCATGTTTAGAGCCAGTATCACATCTCCGGTTGGTAAGACCGGTAGACCCGGTGCTTCGTATCTTTACTATCACCACAAATAATTTGAAATTTGCAGTTGTAAATGTCTAAGTGAACTAATCTCGGTTGTAACTGATTGTGCTATAATGGTGGATAGCAACTCTGCTAATTTTTGTCAAGGACCGATTGGAATTCAATAAAAGTTGATCAAATTAATTATAATTATTTCTCGCTAGATACTTTACTAATAGGTACTCCTTATTTCTCTCTACGTAGACTGTTTGAAATCTTTGGACTATACTTAAAATATAGTTTGGTGTGAAAAAGTTCAACTACCAATCGTTTTACTGCAGTTACAAAAGTTTTTATTCTAAAGTAAATGCATTATATATTACCAACAATTAAAGGTAATAAGTGTAAGTTTTTTTTTGAATTAATCACTACCATGAAAATTATTTGGGCTATATTATATTATTACATTATTTAAAAGCGTTATAAATACGTTTTTATTTACAATACTGTAGTGAAATACATCACAAAACCCTTGAAGACTAAGATGGAATACCTCACAGTCCATAATTATGCCGGCTCAGACAGGCAGAATGTGCTTGATGTTTTTGTTCTTAGTCCTATTGAATTATATTAACAATAGAAAAAAGTAAACCACATACCTACGTAAGAGAACAATCCTTGCTCATTGTCGAGATCATAAAATCGAATCCAGGCGCAAAATGTAAATTCTCGAATTGGCGGCGTGTCGATGTCATATTGAATGAACTGAAAATGTTAATTTTAATCATAGATAGAAACTAAGCAAACTAACTTACTAAACTATACTAAAATAAAGATGTACTGCGAACATTTAAGTGATGTAAAAATATGGATCTTAAATCGTTTGTAACTGACAAAATCGTTTTAGGGACCATAGATTACTATAATGTATTAGTATTCTATGTTAGGCACACATATGCATACATCCGGTATTGTACTTTTACTTTTACAGGCTGAAAAAGCAAGAAAGAAGAAAGATGTATGCGTGTGTGAGTCAAGAACTTGAGCATGGTTTGGGGATCACTTAAAATGTACCCTGCGCTCCGTCTATCTTTACCTGAGGATATAAAGCAATTAGACGTAGTTTCGTAACTTTCTTGTTAATTTTAACGAGAACAAAATATATGTTTAGTTATTAACTTCCCGCTAAGAAAATTGAAAATTCTCAAATATCGGGAAGTGATTGTTTTTACTCCGTTTTTCGAAAATTGAGTTTTCATCAAATCTTGACGTTTTGAGGTCACAGGAAGCCACCCTGACAATTTATCGATGGTGACTGTGTGTCTGTATGTATGTGTGCAATAAAAAAACTAAAAACCTTTTTTTAATATAACGGCTTTACCGATCGATTCTAAAAACTAATCAGCTTTTAACTTTTTTAGCCTAAAACCACGTCGATTGCCCGGTCCGGTTAAAATCAGTCAATTCGTTCGTGTGATATTGTTAACGAAATATTAAAAAAAAAAATTGATTTTCTTAAATTACTCCGGTATATCATATTCAACGTCATAACTTGGTGAAATTTGGAGCGCTTTGCATTTGAAATTAGCGGGAAGTACCAAGGATGGCCAGCAGGGTCAACCAACTTTTTTTTCATAAGAATGAGGTTGATCACGCAGTCCAACTTATGGTGGCACTTAGACATGTCAGTTAAGGATCAAATGCAGATGCTTTGACACGAGATGAAATGCCTTGTTTCTAGTAAAAATGCTGCTTTGGTTCTCTACATTCACCATACTAAACGCAGCAGCATTAAGCTACTATTTATATATTATTACATTTTAATTATTATAAATTTTATTAAGATTTAAAAAAAAACACTGGTTGTAAATTCATAATTAGTTCAGATTTCGAGAGAATTTTGTACTTGCGTGACAATGCTTCTATACAGAAATTATATGATTCTTTAGGTACCGTTACTGTTACAGTCTATTAAAATCCACTGCTGAACGTAGGCCTCCCCCATAGATTACCTCATGGGGGGGGATATTTGGCATAGTTGCCACGCTTGGCAAGCAAGTTGGCAACCGCAGTTTCGATTTTTAGTCCCTATAAGCAAGACGCTGCTCCCCGTATCCTGACTTGTTTCCTTCTGTCGCCTCTTACGACACCCACGGGACGATATGGAGTAGTGGATATTCCTGCACACTACTAGATGGTAATGCACAAGTTATAAGTTAATGATGAATTACACTACCGATAACTGTCGCTAATTCCCATATAACATATTTTGTGTAGGTGTTGTTTGTATTAATTGTAAGAAATCGGACCATTATGTACTTCTTAAATACTAGCACTATTATTATAAAAAATAATACCTGTGAAAATCCTTTCTGAGTGAGAACAAGCTTATAAACTGGTCTGTTGATGCAATAGCTGGACGCAATGATGCTCAAAGCAGCAAAAACGAAATATATCGACATTCTGTAGGATGATCCTGAAACGAATATTAATTTTTCTTAATTTTTATTAAGCTAATTGCACTCATGATTTTTTATTCAAATAACCAGTTCAGTTTTTTCTATTATGTTAATAAGATCAAAAAATATTATCCATCAGTATGTAGTTTGTATCTAAATGTAATTTAAAAAAAAAACCGAGCAAGGCTCGGTCATCCCGGTACTATATTTTATATATATATATATATATATATATATATATATATATATATATATATATATATATATATATATATATATATATATATATATATATATATATATATATTTGGACGACAAATAAAATAAAAATAAAATAAACATCACAATTAAATCGGTTGCAAACAAATTTAAATAATATTTAATTCCCTTAAATTGAATAATAATAATGTTATATACCATTGCCTTTTTCATTAGTATATAATTTATGCAATTTTAACATATTATCGCTATATTTTCTAGTCGCCCCCCATAATTGCAAAATGTAAAATGTGGGTGTTTGCAATTGGCAAACTTAATGAACCATTTTATAGTTAATCTAATATAAATATAAACTAATTTATTTTTAGTACACCAAATTATTGTGTATTCTCCCTATGCTGTTACTGTCCTTTAAAAAAAAACCTATTTACTAACGAACTAACATGAGTTTTCTAAAACAAAATTAAAAGTACATAAGCATAGAACATACTATTTTACATCCTTACCTTTCTTTTTCGTTTTCTTCTATTTCATATGAATAATTTATAAACTACTAATAACATGTTAAAATTTAAAGATCTTTATTTTCCAGTCATGTGTTACTTCTCCGGAAAAACCGAAGCGACTAATGATTCTCTTTCTGCACACTGTTATTACGATGAGTTAATATTTGTAAACATAGAGACATTTCTTACAATACATTTTTAAGCTCTGAGTATGTTCGCAATTGAAAAAGAATTATACTTCCCTATAAAACCACGTACACATTATTAACTATTATGGACTGGACAGATATAACTGAATGAATATTTCGAATGCTTATTGCAGTATTTCGTAATATTGATTGACACGTTAATTGAAATTTTTAACTCGGAGCCGTGATAGCTCAGGGATAAGTGTTCCCCTCGAAATGTCAATCTAAGTGGCGTTTTAATAATAATGTCCTCCAGGAAGTTTGGTCACAGCGGAAAACGGTGAGGAGTCATCTGCGCAGACACAGGTGCACTCTATATTCCCTCACTCTCTTATTCCAATGGGATGGCAAGCCGACACGTCTGTAGAGAGATCAGAACCAGGCGCAGAACCAACTGCTTTACGTGCTTTCCGGTGCACGGGGGTGAAACACCGCCAAATTCCTGACTCTGTGCTGCTCATGACAATTTCTTGACAGAAAAACCAAATTACTGATTTTGGCCCGACGAGGGATTCAAAACGGTTTTTACTCATAGTCGCTTCACTTGGCAAGCGGGATGGCTACCGCAGTTTTGTGTTTGAGTTCTAATTAAATAGATTCTGCTGCTCATCACCTGGTCTCTTTCTTTCTATCGCCTTTTAAGACACACGCGGGATGATATAAGATATTCTTACACCACCATTAGTACTCCTTTTAAAATGGCCGCCAACGGACCTGCAATTAATTCCTTTGGTGTTGTAGCTACTCATGGTCGGCGATAGTCACGCCGCATGTTGTTTGCCCTAACTACTATAAAAAAATTGTTTCATAGGTGTACAGTGTACACCGAGAAATGCTTTAGGTATACTTATATCATAAATATATATTATATAATATATAGATGTTTACCTTTAGAATATCAAACACTTAACATCTATTTATAAACACGGCAACGTATAATATATTATTAACACACTATATTAGGAAGATTTCGATATTGATTCATTACTTAGTTGATCGAATAAAAATACATCTCAATAACTAAAGAAACAAAATGTTTAGGTTAAAGCGCCTGCTTACTACATGGGAACTTCAGCTCCAAGCACCTTACCACGTGGCGGATCTTTGTTGCGCGCATTCTCACCGTCTGCTCCGCCTGTACCTGCTGATCGTGTAAAAACTATACCAACCGCGGGTAAGGTTTTGTCAGTATTTTATTCTTTTAGTTTATTGAAAACAAAGTTTGATTAATTTCGTGCTATTCTGTCGTGTCCGGGATCAAAAAAAAAAACTTTGTGTCTTTCAACAAAATTGCTAAAGCAGTAATTGCAAAAGTTGATGCTCCCTCTGTAATTAGTTATGAAAACGGACTGGACAAATGGTGTGCGTTTGGACTTTTATAATACACCTACACAAATACAGGCATACTCGTATCAGCTGTAATCTGCTCGCCTATTACTAAATAATAATAATAATTACTATTATAATAAGTCGACATTACAATTCCGTATGTCGAGAACCTCGTGAAAGCCGACATAAACGCTGCCGACCGAAATTATTTCTGTAGTCGTTCTCTACGAACGGGCTAATGGACTCCGTGACGGACCGTTCCGAGCTCAAATGCAGAAGGCGGTGCTCCTCGATACCGCTTCGTCCGCCGGTTTCTTCCCCTTACCTCCTAATCTCGCCCATTTGGTCACCTCTACCGAGGGCTTCCATCTGGCTGGAATTTTATTTATTTATGTATTGTTTATGCTAGTATATTTAATATATATTTATGTATATTTATTTATTATAAATTTTATTATATTTTTTCAGTCCAACCAGACGAGAACACTTTATAAATACACCAAATAATAACAACAATAATAAAATTTCTTTATAAATTTATATTGAATTGTTAGCGACCAAATGTAAGATTGTCCAAATAGGGTCTATCGCATTAGGTACAACAGACAGGTGTATGCATCCGTCAGTGCCGACCAAGCTGTTGCGTTCCTACATCCCAGGCACTGGTTCGGAGCGATGTTTCCCCTTCGCTGGCGTCAACTGTCCTCGGATGACAGAGCAACTTTACACTGTTACTGGTAACCAGACCGTCGGCTTAAAAACACGTTACTTTTGCTTTAAAAATTATTTTGCTCAGACTTGTACTCGACAGTAAATTCATATTCCGCTAACAATTGCAAATTATGAATTATTTTTCTGTGTAAAGTTGTACGTCTGTATTTTTATAAACACGATGTTGTTATAGATGTTTATTGCGGTTCTCCCTTCTGTCCCTTTCATCTTTAAGCCCCTAAGTGTTATTAAACTGTCATAACATTCACTAAAATCTCAGACAACTCCGCAATATTAATCTAACTGAAAGCATTTAATTTTCTCTCTTTTACCTTAATACAATTAACGCTTTTGGTGTTAATAGTAATGATGAAGTCTCTTATAATTAGGAAAAGATTTATGGAAATCTGTTTACTTATTTTTATGAATTGTTTCTAACGGTATTGTCTAGTAACAAAATGCACTTTATTATTCGCATGCTTTTTACGTATTTAATAAGTTATGTTTAAAGTTTTACTTACGATTTTCTAATGCGTTAATTATAAATCCATACACGGATTAAGGTTTGTTTAAAAGTACATACAAAGGACTGAATATTCACTGAATTGTTTATTTCAATTGCTGAATCTGTGCAGAAATTCAATCTTTACAAAAACTTTTAACATAAGTAATTACTGTAAATATTTTAATATGGTTACCGTTTGCTCTCAAATTTCGATCTCTCAATTTCATCTCTCTCAAGTTTCGATTTCAGTCACTTATTCTAATTCAGGCCTTTCCGGGGATGGATACGTGTCATCTCCAGAGCGCAATGCTCCTCGTGCGCCATATGAAGACCCTTATTACACCCAGTACTTGGGCCCGGCCGCTGGAAGAGCGACTATTGCCCCTATCATAGATGAGGAAACCAGGTATAACATATTCGCCGACTTCTTTTTGCTAAACGTTTTCTCATTTTAAGTAAAGTGACCTTTATTCTATTTCTATGGTAATTTAGAGTACTAATTTTAAAATTTTGCAGCGATACTGTAATCGTCGATGATTCATATCAGTTGTATGGCGTCAATGCCATCACAACAGCCCCACGTCCAATGCCTCGTCCTCCGTTCGACGCCAGGTAATACCGAAACATAAAACACTATAAATTCTTAATTCTAAGGGTTCTAAATCTAATTATATTTTATTATGAATCAAATACTTGAATAAAATAATACGGGTATAAAATAAATATTACTGATATTATTGTTTTATTTTAATATTCCATAAATTATTTAAAAAAATAATAGTATTTGAATGCTATTATACTTGATTTCTTTGATAAATCATAAACAGAACATATAGCTGCGCGCTATTGTGGCCACAATATTAATGAAACGTTTTGCGATTTTACAGAGCTAAAAGCGAATCATTTATAGAACTTTTATTTCACATGGTCTTATCATACGGTTAGACAATTTTCCGATATTAATTTTATCGGATTGTCGTTGACATGTAATTTTTCAGACTCGCTACGCAAGTAGATGATATGCAGCGTCTACGTGTGCAGAATGTATCAAGCTATGCGCTATTGTGACCACAATACTAATCAAACGCTTTGCGATTTTACAGAGCAAAAAGCGAATCATTTATAGAACTTTCATTTCACATGGTCTTATCATTCGGTTAATTAATTTTCCGATACTAATTTTATCGGATTGTCGTTGACATGTAATTTTTCAGACTCACTACGCAAGTAGATGATATGCAGCGTCTACGTGTGGAGAAAATGGAGCGTCAACTTGCTAATCTCACGGGCTTAGTACAGAAAGCTCTACAGGTGCCCGGGACATCGACACCTGCTGCGGCCCCGCGCCAGGAGTTCCAAACGTACCAGCCTCGACCAGCTAACCAGGGTAAGATTTGTATTCATCGTGAATTTGTGACTACAGCATCCGAGTCTGAAGCAGTTCGGCAGTGATCGGAGAGCTTATCGTCGGTTTTACGTCGCCATCATTAAGCCACAGGAGTTCTTTGGTGTCCTCCTCACGAAAAATGAAACAGGGAATGGTTAATACTTTATCTGTCTGTCTATACGACATTAACGGACGAAAATAAAGTCGCTAAATTACTTTTCTACAAAATTAAAAATTAATAATTGGCCACCGCGTAATTTAAATAATTATTATTAATAATAAGCTTAACAGCTTGTTAATTTTTGCTTAGTTCGTTAATGTGGCTTGCGTTTTCCTGCACTCAGATCCGGTGAGATTTACCAGCGACGAGAGACCTCCCAAATTAGGGAGAGACAGATTTCGTAAGTGTAATTAAACGCGTTCAGATAAATACTCTGATGCATTGCCAATGTTTATATTTATTTTCAATTTCATTTTTAGTATTTTATTAAATGTTTCAGCTTGCACACCTGGAAATTTTTACTCCCATCAATAATGTATTTCAGTCTGTTCATGCTTAAGAAATTACACTCATTTCTTAATAAATCTACTTTAGTTTTTCTTATTTTTAACCCTAAGATCAACTTAGGAAATCATAAAACAATATCTTAATTTTTAAATCTAAATAAAAGATTGAACTTCATTCGCAATGCATCGAGCGCAACTTATCACAAACCGAACGCTTGCTTGCTAACTCGTGAAACTGTTCATACAAGCTTTCGTATGGTAAATTATTTTGGGTTTAAATTCATGTGTATCGTCATCGCTTATAATATTTAACGGTTTTGCTATCAGTTCACTTAATACCAGACGTCACAAATCATTCATTGTTTCTTTTGTGCGTTGATACCCTTTGTACATATTTATTACTTTGTGAATTGCTATTAAAGCTAAAATCGATACTTACATAATCAATATATAGATCGGTACTACACCAGCTTCAATGATGTAGTCAATTAATTTTTAATTGCTAAAGTTAAGTTAACAACAGTAGACCTTATATCATGTATGTAGTTAGGGCTCATAACTCGTTAAATATTAGACGGAAACGATGAGTTTCGTGTATTATTTTTTCATTGTTGGAAAGTTTTAAAATATTACTAAAGCCTGAAACAAAGAACTTATTATAATTTACGATATGTATTGGATTAATAATTTTTAATTCCCGTTAATTTTAAAACTTTACCAAATTTGGAATATTTAATTGAATCGTATTTCTTTTCATTCACTTTGATATAAATCAGATTGATAATTACTTTAATAGTTTATTTCACGATGGTATACTGCTTGTAACACATTGTTTTTATTAAAGTTCTTCAAAATATCACAAAACATTTACGTAAGTTTTATCCAAAATTTTGCAAATACACAATTTTAAACCTTGCACTTATTTTGTCAAAGCCGCCGTTTTAAAAAAATAGTTTTATAAAAACATCATAATAATTCTCAGTTCTATAGTGTTGATAATGCTAACATGTTATCAACACCGTATTCTAAATTGAAACACTAAAAAATTTATTCTTTCAGAAAAATCTGTGTCATTTGAAAAATCGGTATCATTTAGCGATGATCCACCAGATATGAACTCTCCTAAACAACATTCGCCTCAACATTCAGGTACGCAAAAAGCCTCATTATTTATCAACAATTTCCCAGAATGTTAAAGTTTTTAGTCCTGTAGATACAATAAGATGTTATTTATTTTAAGTATTTGTAAGTATTATAAAAATATTACCGGTGACGGTCCCTTATAAAAATTAAAAAAGCTTTAACTAGTGCTACGTATATGCACTGCGACTGCGGGTGATTAAATAAATAAAAAACAAGAATTTGTACCTTAAATGAATGCTGTAATTCCTTTAAATGTATTAATATCGATTCTTCCTTAATTACAATTAATTTTTACGTTATAATAGAATTTTGATAAGCCCTTAAGAAAACATTATCGAAACATTCACCACTATCATAAATAAATGCAAATATTTCATATTTGTTTCAAAAAAATGTACTTAAGAATGAAGCAAATTCAAAACTAAAAAAGTATTCCATTACACGTATTCATTCTTATAAACTTTTATCTATCCCTTTTACACTCTCGTAGTTGAGATCATAACCATGTTCATAATTTTTGTATTTGATTTCTTTCCGCTTACTTCTTTGCCATATCAAGCTGATACAAAACCAGCTAAACCGGCAATCAAATCATCCACTTTGCCGAGGACTTCTTCACAAGGTAACTGTATACAATCCTTTTTTTTAATATATGGACAGTATTTTTTGGAAGGCAGAGCTTCAGATATAACACGCATCAACACTAACGCAATGGTAGCTTAATTAAGATATTTATTTCGTTTGTATTATAATTTATTTATAACTATTTATTTATTTTATGCATACGCATTTTAGTACCATCGAAAAATTTGTACACTTTTCATTTTATTACACAAATTTTAAAGTTTTCGGGACTAGTCCCGACTTAATTTATTCTGTTTCTTTACACAGAATTAATGCTTTCTGGTCCTAATTTCTTCACTTCTTTCTTATTGCTGAAAACTAAATATAGCCTACGAACTTTACACTTTATATTTTCCACGCCTAATAGAAAAAGCTTATTTTGATGCTACCATGGAGTTTTTTTTCTGAATCAAGCAGTGTTATTATATTTATAACTCGTTATTGCTGCTTGTATTGCAGAACGAGATCGTTTAAAACCGGCTCCTCCACCGAAGCCTGCTGGTTTAGTTGGACAACAATTAGCATTACCTCAGCAAAGGACACTTAATGTTGGTCCCGACTTCTTCAATCAACTGCGTTTGCTTCAAAAGGAAAGCCGTGACTTAAGGATTGAGGTTGGTCTTATTCTTTCTCTAGATATAAATTTACATGCGTTGCTGATAAATATGCGAAAGTTTCCATGAAAGGTGTGAGCGATTAAAAATAGCTACTGCGAATGCTTATTCATTGTCTTATCATTATCTGATGCATACCATAAGTACATAATGACTTACTCCACAGACACGAAATTTACGTCGTTCAACCTTGTCACAGTCTATTCAAATGAGACAGTTAATGGCCGAAACTATTGTAAAGATAGGTGCTATCGCTGCTAGCTGCTGCGAACATGACCCTGATTCGGTGCGTATTATGGTTTTAGTCAAAAAATATAAATCAGGTGTTTTCAATTAAAATTGAAAAAAATTTATTCAAAAATATACTTTTTAATATAAATATGTTTTTAGCAACTTACTAGAGAGGAAGAGATTTATAGGCAAGATATGTTGCTTCTTGAAAATGATTTGTATGAATTAGAGGCTACGGTGGAGAGACTTCGGGGCCAAGCGGCCAACAGGTATATAGCCCAATGAAAACATATTGATACTTAACCACTGTTTATTAGAATGTCTTAATTTCAATATTTAATTCTAGGGAAACCCGTGTCAACATGGCCGATATTGAGCGTATTGCTATGGTTCTCTCTAAGAGCAGCAAAACGGTTGCCGATTGGAAACTTAAATTTCCGATTCTTCAGGATACAATGAAAGTTAAACTTGCTTCAGACATGGAGAAGGTATAACAAAACGATGATTTTCTTTATCTTTTTTATTTAGAAGAAGATGTTAAAAATAAATACAAACTTTCTAATCAGGTTGTTCGAAAAGAAAAGATGCTCGAAGATGAACCAGAGCGACTTGAACTTGCCCTGCGTCGCTGCAAAAAGTTAACTGGAACTTTGGTGACTCTTAAAAGGTATTTATTTAAAAAAAATGTTGGCATTGAAACTGCCTGTTTAACTTTGCTACTTTTATAAACAAAAAGATTTTTATAATGTTATTTTAGAAACTTTGTTACACCTTCATCATCAGTGGTCACTGTATCACAAATTTGATGGACATTCTGATATCGACCGAAATTTACCAAATCTTCCAAAAATTTGGGAACCGCACTGCAATTCGGTGTCCTTATAATGAAAATAAAAATATTAAAATATATATTATAATTCATATTTGGGTAGTTATATCATAACAAGAATTTAATCAAATGTTATTTTTATAGATTGGCGTGCGTTCAAGAACAGCGTCTCCCTATCACGGATGGTCGTATTTCTCCTGTCTCCTCGCAAAGTTCCTCTTTCACGGCTGGCCCATCATCTGAAGAGTATCCCCCAGAAAATACTTGCCAACTGGCTACTTCACACAATAAGGTATTTTATTATAACTTCACTTTTATGATACATATGCAATGAATTTATATGGAATAAAAGTTTTTTTTTTCAGTTTAGTGAAATATTTATTAAAATTTGTAGAAAATTGAATGAAGGGAACAGTTTTATCATCATAGTCAAAAGACTATATAAAAACAATAATATTATTATATATTTGTTTTTATAGAATGTTGAATTCCCAGACGAATTAAGCAGATAAAATTATAATTACAAGATAATTCAGTTTCAGATGTTTACATCCTTAAACAGTGTATGTCGCTTAACAATTGCAGGTTTGCCAAAAGTTTAAAATTTGCATTTTTTTCCAATACTTAGTTTTATTTGCGTGAGTTTTAAGTAATTTTATTTGCTCCCTGTCACCGTAAACAGCTTTTTACATGTTTTGAAACTCCTACAAAAAAATAAACTCCGTACGTAGTATTTTGCTTCTTCAATTCTCAGCATCTTTCCCTTTTGATTTACTTTATTTCAATCATTGCATGCTAACTTCTTCGTATGATGTAGATAAGGTTTAGTCATTCTCAAACTTTTCTAGTTTTTATAAAACCTTATAACGTAGTTGCTTATCTTAAATTTAGTTTTAGACTAACTTTAAACTTGTATCCATACCTCTCTTTTTCTACTTTACATGTATTGTTTAATATTATTGTCTGTATTTTAAAATCCCTGTGTATTCTGGATCGGGATTGTTACAGAATCAATTGGCCTCAAAATTTATTACCATTACATGATACAATGTTTAAATCGAAATTGGCATCGGCATTCAAAATAACAATCAATATTGCCTCACACTCTGTTCCCTTGTTGAAATATACTACAAATGCCTATGATCTATTCTGCGGATGGTTATTTTAACAAAATTTCATCATTTTTGAAGGCTCCAAAGCATCGGTTTCTTCTTTTATACATATTATTCACAAATTAACTTGAAGCAATTAGCAACTTCTCCGTACCATCGTACCTATTACAAATTTTGTAACCATGTTCGATGTAACATTTTTACAATACGCCACTTTTAATGGATACATGTACAAATTTGCATTCACTTTATTGTACAGAAAAGGATTAAATATATTGTTATGTTACTGTTATTATATTGGTATTTACAAAGTAACTTTCTGTATATATGTCATCCAGGGCTATATATCTCTGGACTAGACTAATCACCTTCCTATGTCTTCCCAGATCTAGCTGCTAAGCGTATGTACGTTTTTAATTTGTTTTTTAGTTTCTTATCAGTTGAGTTTTCAACAATAGAATTTCATTAAATATTACATAATATTAATAAGTATCACAAAAATACTGATGAGATGAGATACTGGAGCTCGAAGAAGAGGTAGACAAGTTGCGCTGGCATATTATTGGATTATCTGAGGTTCGAAGAGAGGGGGAGGACACGGTAATCCTCGAGTCCGGCAACTGTTCTATCACCTGGGTGGCGACCATCTGTCCCAAGGAGGTGTCGGGTTTATCGTCCACAAGTCTCTCGTCAACAACGTTGTAACGATTGGGAGTGTACGATGAGGGTCGCGTACCTGATACTCAGAATCACCAAACGGTATTCGCTGAAGGTAATATAGGTCTACGCACAAACCTCGGCACATCCCGATGAGGAGGTGGAGGAAATATATGAGGATATTTCTAGAGACATGCATTCCTTCAAAACCCACTACACGGTGTTGATGGGAGACTTCAACGCAAAACTAGGCAAAAGAGAAGGCGGTGAGCTGAAGTTAGGGAAATTTGGAGTAGGGCAACCGTAGGGGCCAGCAGCTGGCTGAATTTATGGAGAAAGAGGGACTCTTTATGATGAACTCTTTCTTCCAGAAGCGGCCCCACAGGAAGTGGACCTGGTCGAGCCCCGACGGTTCGATAAAAAATGAGATTGACTTCATTATGACGACCAGACGCCAACTGTTCAGTGATGTCTCAGTGATCCCAAGGGTGAAAACCGGCAGCGATCACCGAATGGTTAGAGGCATACTGCACCTAAACGTTTAGACGAGACCTCTCCAACGTTAACGTTGGAGAGGTCTCGTCTAATGAAGTCAACGCTCCGTCCCCCTCGTGCTCTAATCCAGAATCCCGAAACGTTTCAGCTCGAGTTACGTAACCGCTTTCAGCGCCTAGAAAATTGCAATGCAGTGGACGATATGAATGACAAGCTCGTGGAAACTGTCCATGCGGTCGGAGCTAAGTTCTGCAAGACCCGCCGCAGAAGAACTCAAAAACTCTCCGATCACACTCTTAATCTCATGGCTGTTAGACGGTAGATGAGGCTGCAATCATCAACAGATTTGACAGCACACAGGCAACTGAATAGACAGATCTCCAAATGCATGCGGCGAGACTTACGCAACTTTAATACTGCTCGTATTAAAGAAGCAATCGAGCGGAACCAGGGCTCCAAAGTCTTTGCCAGAGATCTGTCTGCCAGAAAAAGCCAACTGTCAAAGCTGAAGACTGAGTGTTGCAGCATTTTTTCCGGGACACCTGAGATTTTGAGTGAGATTGAGAGGTTCTATGGGCAGCTGTACACATCATCGTTGGAGCTACACACAAGTGTGAGTAACGATCCAAGAGCAAGTCTTACCTGACACTATTCCAATGATATCCCGGACGTCAGTCTGAGCAAGATTAGAATGGCTCTCCAGCACCTTAAAAACGGCAGAGCCCCAGGCGAGGATGGAATTACAGCGGAGCTTCTGAAAGCAGGTGGAACACCGGTACTTGAAGTCCTTCAGAAGCTCTTCAATTCCGTCCTCCATGGTGGCACTACTCCGTAGGCGTGGAGCAGAAGTGCGGTGGTCTTGTTCTTTAAGAAAGGCGACAACGCTCTCTTGAAGAACTACAGACCGATTTACCTTCTGAACCGCGTCTACGTGCTGTTTTCGAGAGTCATTACGAATCGTCTCGCACGCAGACTCGACGACTTCCAGCCTCCCGAACAAGCCGGTTTCCGAAAAGGCTTCAGTACCATAGACCACATACACACCCTGCGGCAGATTGTACAGAATACCAAAGAGTACAATCTGCCACTTTGCCTGGTGTATGTGGACTATGAGAAATCCTTTGATTCCGTCGAAATTTGGGCGGTGCTACAGTCCCTTCAGCGGTGCCAAGTTGACTGTCGGTATATCGAAGTGCTGAAGTGTTTTTACAGTAGGGCTACGATGGCTATCCGAGTACAGAACCAGAGTTCGAAACCTATCCAACTGCAGAGAGGTGTAAGACAGGGTGACGTTATATCCCCGAAACTCTTCACCGCTGCGTTGGAAGACGTTATCAAGCTACTGGACTGGAAAGGATACGGTATTAACATCAATGGCGAGTACATCACTCACCTTCGATTTGCCGACGATATAGTCCTTATGGCAGAATCGCTGGAGGACCTTAGCACTATGCTCAATGACCTCAATAGTGTCTCCCAACGGATAGGTCTTAAGATGAACATGGACAAAACAAAGATCATGTTTAATGTCCATGTCACACCTATGCCGGTACCCAGTGGTCAAACGACGGATTCAACTCGGCTGGGCAGCGTTCGTGAAATTACGACACATCTTCTCGTCAGGTATACCTCAATCTCTGAAAACTAAAGTGTACAACCAGTGCGTGTTGCCAGTGATGACTTACGGATCTGAGACGTGGTCCTTCACTGCTGGCCGTATGAGGACGCTCAAGGTCACTCAGCGAGCTATGGCGAGGGCTATGCTCGGAGTTTCACTGCGTGATAGACTCAGAAATGAGGATATCCGCAGTAAAACCAGAGTGACCGATATAGCCCAACGGATTAGTAAGCTGAAGTGGCAATGGGCCGGCTATATAGCTCGAAGAACCGATAACCGATGGGGAAGAAAGGTTCTCGAGTGGCAGCCTCGTACCGCTAGGCGTAGTGTAGGGCGATAGGAATGCCACAAAACGCGGTAGCCTGAGCCCATCTGTAGGTAAATATTTTAAGGCAAATTGTGAATTGTCACTGACAGAGTGTGATGGCACAAATTAAAACAGAATACAAAAATATTCTTTTGCACATACCCTGCAACCAATGCACTGTCCGTAAACGTCGCATTAAAATACCTTGCTTTCGGAAAATAATGCCAATTTTAATAAACATTATTTAAAATATCTGCAACGAATGTTCGAAATTTTAGCCTTCTTTCCCGATTTTTTACGATATATTTGTGTGATTAATATTAATTCTTTTGAAAGTGTAGATAAAATGTTCAGTATACAAGTCCTCGCTCTTGCTCTACATACCAGTATATTCAACGTGTAGCCATAAATAAATGCCTACACCTCTTAATATTTTGAATTTATTGTATTGTTGTTAAATTTCATATTGAAAAATAAAAAGAGGATGACAAGATTGTGATAAATCTGTTAGGGCTGGTTCATACTACTGTTTTCTTATAATATAGGTATATTACTTTAATTATGAATTTCATCGTCTTTTTTCCGTCATGGTACCCGTCAGTTCGCCTGGAGACACAGCCAGAACTTCCGGAAAGCGATAGTTATTAACGAGTAATAAATCTATTCGTAATCTATACATATTATTATTATTATATTCATAAACAGCGTTTTAATATTTTTTTTCTTACATTTTATTCCACATCCATATTTTTACTTTATTATATTTTTCTTTAATTCTCATAATATATCTGTATGTCAGTAAACACGAGTCGCTAACTTTATGTAGGCATGTCGATGCACAATGGTACTCGATGCTTTAGCAATATTGTAATTTTAATACATTTAAATTTCAATTTTGCTTACAATTACATTGGAAACTTATAGGATTTTAAATATTTTTTCCAGTACAGACAGTATTGAAAGAATCGGTACGCATGCTTACATATACTTACAATATTATTATTTTTAAAGTAAGACTGGATTAATATTGAATCTATCATTGTAGGAAGCACTGAGTTATAATAAAGATAATTGTTCAATTTTGAATTTTATGGATCTTCTAAATCACGGGTCATTACACAATACTGACGTGCCGACTGCAAGGATACGATTGCTTATTGACGTAATGACACAACTCAGCTAATTAAAAACAGCTTTATTTACATTTTGGCCATTCATTTTTTATTGCATTCTGTACTTACCTGAGTTTAAATTTTTGTAGCGATTATATTGCCAGCTAAATAATTAGCTGATTGTTATTAGAAAACGACATTGTTATAGTCGCAGCCTACGGTTGAATGTGTAAATGTACATTTAGGTATAGGCAATAGCATACAGGCAGGTAGTAGTGACGCATGCAGCACGGTGGTACGATCACATTTTTTACGATTTCATTTATACATCTTATAGTTTAGTTTATAATTTTGTTTATATCAGGGAATGTAAAGTGCACATAATATTATGTCTTTAATAAAATAAGTTTTGATTATACACAAACTTAAAAAGGTTGTATATATGTACATTGCATTCTCATTTAAGTCTATTCAAAGATACAGTTGTAATAATTATCATTTAGTGTTTAATTATGTATTATAGTTTTTATGATCATTGCATTACAAATTTTGAATAGATGAGATTGTACTCTTTGAATAGATATAAGTATGTACATAATATTTAAATATTGAATGTAATCAACCTTTTTTGTTAGTTGGACCAACATTTACAATATCAATCTGTGTTCATGATCAAATTCAACCACGCTCTCACAGAATACCAGCGTAAAATAGTAGTTCAATGCTGCTGTGTTTCGTATGGTGAATATAGAGATCCGGAGACCCTTTTTACCTGAAAAGAGGCATTCCATCTTAGTCCTCACGGGTGACAACGCCTCTGCATTTTGATTCGTAATCGAGGGTAGATGTAGGTGCCTGTCGGCCGCAGCAACCACTTACCATCAGGTGGACTGTGTGCTCGTTTGTCACCCTATCCTATAAAAAAATCATATTAATTTAAATGAGAACACAAATTATTATATTTGTGTTTGTCCAAATAACTGCATCTGTGAGTGAAATGTGTGCATGTGAATACGTATTTTGTTAGGTAGAGTATTTATCTCACAATGGCGGGTTGGCGTTACTTGTACTGTGCGTGGCTTAAAATTCAAAGATTATTATCTAATCAGAACGGAAAGTAAACTGAGAAAAGTCGTTGGCAGTGATCTAAGAAAACAATTGATATATCGTTTGTTAAACAGCAGGGTAAGGCTCGTTCGTCTTTTTTGAGAAAAAAGCATCTACCTATCTATCGCTTCATAATAGTTTGTGCATCTCGCTGTTTTGTTTTTGTTGCAGCACATTGTCAGTAGCAGGAGCAGTTCACAACCTAGAAATTCTGGATTACAATGAATTCCTGTAGTGACCTCATCCTTATCTATTCCCACGAATTTCTCGATAACCATATATATTTCATAATGAAATCATAAAAGATAAGGTCCATCATTTTATACTTTCTCTTTTATCTCTTATTCTTTTAAGTTTTCTTTCAATTATTAAAGTATTTAGCAATCTTCTATAATCACTACTTTCAATTTTGTAAATGTAAATTCGTAACTTAAAGTTTATATAGTGATTCCCTACACCCTTTGCCTTATTTAACAATATTTGTCAAAACCGCGATTTGAAATAAACTAACCCAAGCATCTGGAGCACAGGTAATTTATTTTAATTTATTTTAAAATTCTATCTGCTTTAGATATTAAACCACAGTATTATTCACAATTAAATTAATACATATATACATATATTATATGTAAATCAGCACATTGAGTAATCAGTAATAAAACTTTCGTAGTAGCTATTGCAGTTCACTTGGGCTTTCACTTTATTTCTTTTACTCTTAAAGCTGTCAATTCGAAATAGCCTCCTTTATTAAGTAGAAGGTTGTTAAAACTAAGACACGACACACACGTATTTTAAAATTTTTGACTAATGGCAAAATCATCACAATTGTTAAGAGTAAATTTTTTCTTTATATTTTTGTACATTAAATTTATTATAAGTTAACTAAATATGTCTCATTTTCTTATCACGTTCGACCGAGCGTTTCTAATAATCTATATGTGTTATCTTACAATCTTTTATTTTCGCCTGTGTGTCCTACTCATTACAATCACCATATTTCGGTTTTTTTACCACATGTCAATGGCAGTTACTTTCAACCACCTGCTCTTTATTTTTTGTCGCCAAATTTATAAAATATCATTTAATTTTGGATTATTAAAACAAGTGTTTCATAAATAGATTTGGCAACAAAAATGAAGGCGTATGTTTCCTATATTATTCGTTTTTCTTTAATTTTGAATGGTTGTGGAAACTGAGTGCCATCAGTGGATTTATTTGAATGAATGTTATAAATGTTTTTGTTCAGTATGTGTTCAACTTCTCTAAGAGCGTGATTGCAAGTATACGGTAATTTTGCAAATGAAAATTATTTAATGAGATCATGTGATTGCAAGCCCGCTCTTACATTCGTCTGAAATCGCTGGACACAGCTAGAATGGAATACAATGGTGCGCAGGGCACCGGCGGCGTCGTCCCCGTGCGAAACGTTGCGGGGAGAGGAACAACGGACGTCCGGCCGGAGAACGCCCTCGATGCATTATTAGACGAACTCCAGACTTTCGCTAAACCAGCGGACCGTAGCGGGAGAGGCGAGGGGCCCTTGCGTCGACTTCATTCGTATCCAAGTGGCAGCGACACAGATGCGTCGCCACCAGTTCGTGCTCGCGGTCAACATCCTCCGAAGCCCCCAGTGCCCGAGAGACACCCCGAGCTTCTGGCGTTGGCCGCGCGCCGTGCTCCTCCCCCGCCACCACCAAGAACAACATCTAGGTCACCACTCGCTTCTCCAACTTCACCCTCATCTCCTCCACGCACTGATTCCGATTCCTGTCGCTCCAATCCCGACCCCAACCATGAGGAAAAAGGCAACTCGCGTCAGGCGATTCTTGAACAAAGACATCAAGAATTGTTAAAAAAACAAAAGGCGCTTCAGGAGCAGTACGCGCGCTTACAAATGATTCATAGAAGCGGAACTGCGCTGCCCTCAAACGCCCAACTAGACCTGAAAAAGACTGGCAGTGAATCGAACTTGCTTACTAAAATGAACTTAAATCTAGCTCCAGCAAATATATCTGGTAGCATGACTCATTTATCTGCCGATTGCGAAAGAAAAAATTATCCAGATGGTACTACGTCTGAAGTCATTAACTCGCAGTTGCTCAAGACGCCTGACGCGATGGCCACCACAAACAAAGTTTACGAGACGGACATACTGTGACCACGCAGTCTTTGCTTTTGACTCGATCCAAATTTATACTCTTATATATTAATGGCATTAAGTTATTTGATATTTGTGAAGTTTTTTATGATCACTGTTAGGGTTCTGTGGTTTAAAGTTTAGTATAGGTCAATTTTATTAGTTGCTGTTATATCATCACTCTTATTAACGTGTAATACAGTTCATAATAATTGATCCTAGCGCTTTTCTTGCTTAAAACACTTAAAATAAAAATATAGCTTGATAGACAGACAGGAAATATGAAAATAAAATGTCAAAAAATTAATCAAAACCTAAAAAATGTAATTAAGTCATTAATATCTCAAGTATATCAATGATATCAATTAAAACCTATAGCGTAAGTATTTAAGGACTTTACACAATTTATCCAAATGAGCGCTTCAATTTATAACATATTTACTATATTTGTTTGTTAAATGTTTTTCATTATTGTAAGCGTATGTCAGTATAAAAGCAAAACTCTTTCTTAAAACGCATTACCTTTCGTTGTGCGACATTAGTTTTCTACCTTTGTATTTATGAAGGACGTTTGTCTTAACACGAACGGATTTCCTTAGGGTTAATTATTTAAATTAAGTTAATTATTAAATAATATTTGCTTGCAAATGAGATCATGTTTCTGAATATCGGTTTCTAAGCCATTTATATTATTTGCACCCTACGTAAAAAATTAGAATATCGTTGTTTCTAATCCTTCTCCATTTGGGAATTGATGTTTAAATGTAAGCACGAAGTAAAGTCACTTGATGTATGACAAAAAAAATTCTATGCGTATTCATAGTATTAAATAAAAAATTAAAACATCTTTTAATGTTAAGTAATCATAGGGAACGCATTAACATGTAGGTATATATAATCTTGTTATATAAGCACTTTACTAAGTAATATAATATGTTCGATGGTATGTCTCCAAACTTAAACTTCATAACTTAAACTACGTTCCGTTCTGTAAATACAATAGTGAAACGTAATGAAGTCGATAATAATTTAAGCCTAATATGATACTTCTACTTAATATAACTTTCATATCTCGTATGTTTCCTCCTTCCAAACAACCCTTGTGCCAAATAATTTCTTTGTAAATTCTTCTTTGAAGAACTATCTTCTAGTTCTATGTATATTTTATCGGCTGTACTATGAATATTTGTCCTTAACTATTCTTGGTGTATATGCTTTTATAAACGAAAGCTTCTGGCACAACGAATGTTAAGACATATGAGTGTCTGATACAAGTATAACAATTGAATTGTTTACTTCAGTAGCGACGTGCTTATTGTGCTTGACGGCTCTCAATTTCACATGGAATGCTTGGAATTGATTTACCAATAATCTTGTACATTTAATCATTTTCGTTGTTATTATTCAGATATTTTCTCATTTATAATTTTCATCTGCCATTATTGAAACTGGTCTTTTAACAAAAACAAGAACCTAGGCTTGTATTGGACTTGTATAAATTGATAATTTATATGTTACAACGAGCGTGTGTAATACATTTTCGATATCTCAATCGGAATTCTCGATAACTTCTTTAAATTATTTTCATTAAAATTCTTACAAACACCATAACAAATAATAGTAACTGATATAGCACTACAACATCAATATAAAATAAATGTCAGCGGAATTCGGTACTCGCTCTTCTAAACCGTCAATAATATTAGGAAAATTAAACAGTACTCGCTTATAGCTAAATAAAATAGATGTGGTAAAATTGAATGATAAAGAAATGAGTGATATTATTGTATAAAATTATGCGTTAACGTGTTCTTATTTTTAGATTCGAAGTATATATGCATTAGAGAATTCAAATCTTAGACCATAGTTACTATCTACATATTAAAAGAAATTAAAAACGCTTTTAACTGTTCTGTCATAGGCTATCGGCGTACGCCTCCTTGTGTAGTTGGTGAGTGGTATTACGATTTTGCGACCACCCAATAAAGGAATTTCCGATAAAATTATTTTAGTTTTAAGTAATAAACTCTTTTACTATTAAGTTTATCTTAGTTGGTAAGTATAATTAATTTTAATAGCTAACCTACATTTTTACAACGACAAAATTATAAAGAGGTGAATGGAATTTTGTTGGAAAAGTGTATCTAGTATGTATTTTTTTTTACATTAAAAAGTATTGATTGAGTTACCGCGGTAATATCGTATTATTAAAATTATTTCGTCAATTTTAACTATTTTAAGTAAATGAATTTATAAAAATTAGTAATATTATATACATTTTTGTAAAGCTTACTTTCTATCCTTTTGTGGAATTAAAAAACATACTGGCAACTTGAAACGAACTATATGACTTTCTTGTAACAACTTTTGTGTAGTATCTATAGTGATGTATGAGCTCAACTTTTTTGTTTCTTTTGAAATTCATATACGCCAGTGATTGTACATGTAATATGTTTTTGGTTACACATTCCTATTAAATAAGTTGTATGTTATCATTTAGATTTCCATTTTTCCTATTTTCTATTAAATCTTTGTGTGGTCGAGTTTTTTTAGCCAAATTTAATTATGTATTTTAAAACAACCTGTTATGTGCCAAATGTTTTATAAAGTTACAATTTGTCACTACCGGAGTTTAGCTAGGTTTACTTTAGATACATCGGTCGCAGTTGATTATTTTACTGTTTTGTAAGACTTTTTCTAGCTTAAAGCTCTTCTTACGTGTTATACGTTGTTATAATTCATTACTTATTATTGTTTACTTATAATGTATATGATAATTATGTAGGTAAATCAAGATAGCTTGAAATATTTTAATGTGGATTTAAATAAATATATACACGTCAAGTTAAAAGTTGTTTTATTTAAAATTAATAAATTCTTAATCGAAGCCTTATTGTCCTAATTAGAAAAAGTATTGACTGTATGTTGTGGATTCTAAAGGAGTAAGGATTTTTATTTAAATACAGAAACACAGCAGAAAATGATTTATTTTATATGGGATTGGGTCACAATCGAGCACACAGTCCACCTGAAAGTGATTATGCTCTAATTGCATCGAAATCCGACAAGTACTTTTGAAGTGAATATTTACGTTATAACCAAATGAAATCAAGAAATATATTGAAATGAATGAAATTGCAAATCATGACCCGAAACATTCAAAATCCCTGTTGATTCAAGATGGCATATAAAAGTATATTACGCAAGGTTTCAGCTTTTTCCACTCTGGAAACTTGAAGTTTGCCTCAATTTGTTTATTTGCTTTTTACCCAATTGCAAACTTCAAATTCTCCCTGTTCTGCAAATATGTAGTATATATTTACATGTTTTTATAATTGTCTTAATGTATATAAAAATTGAATAATTAAATAAAAAATTTAATTTAAAGAAAACATACCTTTTGGCATAGGTCTTCCTACTCCAGGAATCTGGTTTTCGTGATATGTACAAGTGGAATATAAATTAGATTTAAAAAACACTTATTGACAACGTCACAAATCACTGAGACGATTTGAAAATCCATATGAACTATCGAATTCTATTCATCTAACTATATACATATCATCATACATATCAATCAAGTAAGCCGTTGATCTACCATTGTATTTGGTATTTTAAAATTGTAATTGGACTTCCCAAGCAGTTGTTTGTATTGGTATTGTATTTATGTTTGAAAGTTGTATCGTGTTAGGAATTTCAATAAATAGAAAACATACGTACTTAGTATGCTTTAGGGTATTTCGTGACATAGGTTCATCTATCTAGCCACCTTAGCATGATGTTTTCCTGTGGATTTCAGTATCCCTTGTTTCACTAGTAAAAACTACAGCAGTGATGTTCGCGTGAGAAAATATGCAACCATTATCAAGATTTAGATATAATAAAAAATTTGTTAATATATATCTAAAACAGCGTTCGACTAAGAACACTACCTTGAGAACTCCATAGATTATATTAGCCTCTTTACTGAGCAGTGGTAAAGCTAGGGCTCCAAACTAGGGCAAGCCCAAGATATGGTTTTGTTGTTTTTAGCAGTTTTATAAAAATACACCAAACATGATCTGTCTCCACTCTTCAGTTTCATATTCAGTGCTGTCGAGGACGTGTTTAACAAAGCACACAGAATGTATACTGCTAGGTAGATTGTGTAACATATGAGCATAATTGCATACCTTCGGTGGCTTTGAAAAAAGCCATTTAGGTTTACTTGAGTGAAAGAAAAAGATATTTACATACAACTATACATGAACAAAGTACAAACAAACTACGTCCAAAATTTAATACAAAACTAATTATTTATATTCTAAATTGAATGGTATCTCTATCTTCAGCCCGAAAGACGCTCTTGATCTTGTGTATTTTCAACGCGATACCTGGTTCATACTGTCGAATCTCGACAACAGCGCTGCCTTGGTTTTGGAATTTAAATTAGAAAATGAGACAACAGCGGTAACCTACAGCAGTTACAATATTTAAATAATTTAGAATCTAGCTTACCAATTCTTAATAAATACAATTGTATGATTTCACAAAATGACAATAAACATTGTTTACACCTGATGCATCAAAATATACAAGGCATGATAGGCAAAGAGCAGGAAATTAAATTGTTGTTAAATAGCAACAATATTCATATTTTATGTATAACTGTAAAGTAAAAAAAAAGTAAAGTTACAGCCTATATACGTCCCACTGCTGGGCACAGGCCTCCTCTCATTTCTGAGAGGGTTTTAAGGCAAGGAAATGTCCGCCGCGCTGCCCCAGTGCGTGTTGGCGAACTTCACATGTCTTCGAAATATTTTTTTCTTATTTCTCAGATATGCAGGTTTTTTCACGATGTTTTCCTTCACCGGCGAGCACGTGGTAAATCAGTACTTAAAATTGCAACTAACAATTTCATTGGTGCCGGCGGGGATCGAACCCGGTTTGCTCGCGTATTGCGAAATTTACAGCGAGCGCTAACCATCTGAGCTACCACGGCTATGTATAACTGAACATTCGTTAAAAGATTATTACTTAAT